CAATTTTCTACAAATTACTATTCTCTTATATTTTTCGAACAAAAGCCTGATTTTAAACTTAAAAAACGAACTGAAAACACATTTACTTAAATTACATGACAAATACTAATCATTCGGTTATTTATTAGAATAAAGAAATTAATAACATTAGTCATTAGTCACATTTTATACCTCCATTTTCACGAACACAGGCGCGACATCTTTTTAGTAACAAAAACGTAATTTGTTCAAAATTTACTGTTGCTGAATCTGATGAAAAGCATTATTTATTCTTTCTTCTAACTGCTCAGAATGTCAAAGTTACTGTCGCAGCCTAAGTGTGTTTTCAGTTCGTTTTACTCGAAAATTAGGCTTTTTTTGAAAAACGTAAGAGAATAGTAATTTGTAGAAAAATGAAAGACGAATCTAAAAATATGATTGTTACCGTAAAGCAGTGGCGTACTATTTAATTTAGAAAAATATGCCAACGATACCCTGCATCTCCGCCAATGGAGCATCTAAATTTTAGGAAAAGGCCTCAGATTTTGACAATGTTTACATAAATACAAATTATTCCACTTACTAGTTTTTAAATTATTTAACAAAATTAAAAATCTTTTTTGAAGTTTAACACCCTGTATCTTTTTAACGAAGCATCCTAGATAAAAACTTTGTATGAAAGACCCCTTAATTCATCAAAGAATAAGAGGTTTCATTTTTGGTCACCGTTTGTGAATCACCCTGTACAATACCAAGTACTATGCAGGCAATAATAACGTATGTCTAATCTTTTGGTTCAAGACTACATTCTCTTTGCTTAATTACGTTTAATTTTACTATTTTTGTCAATATTTTCCATATCTATGATCGCTCATCTATAATCCAATAATTGAACAGAAAAATTCAGTAAAATTTTATAATTTTCTCGAAGTTTCGAGCTGAATTCAACGGATTTTTTTATTAATTATAAGAATTATACGTAGGTCGAAATTATTGAAGTGATATGAAATAAGGTAACTTTTTTTTGTAAAAGAATTGAAACCACACATTAAAACCTTCTTGAAAGAACTAAAAATATTTCTTTGGCACTTTTCAATATTTAAAAAAAGTGGCACGAACAAGCAGGAATTTTTATAAAAGCAGGAATTTTTATAAAGAATTACGTTGTCTCATAAGTTTTCAAATAAAAAAGTTTTTCTCTCTTCAGAACACAATCGTAGGTCACCCTGTAGGTATTCTTGGAGAACTGTATTTTATTATGTTCAAGTATATGGTTAGTATAATGCACATTTCCTTATCATGCAATAGAACCAGTCGAATTTACTCGCACCAACTGCTTCACGGTTAATTTTAGAAAATTTTCTTAACGTTGATTAAAGGAAAGGGAAGTACTTATTACGTTTTTTCAATATAGTCTTACTTTTCCTGTATCTACGAGTCACTTCAAAGGCCTTTCATACTAATTAATTAGATTTTTCAACAATTAGCATCCGCTTTGTCAGACTAAATTGTTTCAAATGTACTGTAATAAGAAACTTTAATAGGAGGAGTGCTTTCCGATAATTAAATGATACGTTTTATGAAAATATTTTTAACTGTTTAATGGTTTATTAAATATTCAATGACTTAAATTTTTCATTTTATAATAGTTGACTATCCTGAGATGTCCTGAGTAAGTTTTATTGATCTGTTCTTCTTTGACTACATAAACAAAAGTTGTAGTAATAAACGAATGACTTACAAATAACAATGAACAAGATTAACTCAAGGATTAGAATAAAACTCGATTAGTAATAATTGTTTTTCGGCTTATCAAATAAATTTCGAATTTCGAATTATATATAGTAATCCGATTTGTTAAAGACGCAGGCGCAGTGCTGTTCGGCGAGATCAATAAAAAACGTTGAGAATGTTGGAAATATAACTTGAATTAAACTGGGGATAACATAATTTTATCATAGCATAAAAGTTCTGACAGTAAAAATGTAAAACTAGGGACCACTGATGATTATTATAGAGTTATTATCAATACTTGCGAATAATGAATATTTACCTGTCACAATTTATTTGTGTCATATTGTGAACATTTATTTTCCTTTATTTATATATTTTTTATATAAAATTGCGGGCATATCCACTAAAAATTATTAACATTTTATTGTTATTGTTGTTTATGTTACCCAACCCTAAACTGTACATTACTCATCGTAGTGAAATTAACAAATCTAGTAAAAACATATACCAATCTAATGTTGTGAAAAAAACTATATTTATTAAATCTGGTATAAATACATTCACTGTTTTATGTCTTGGCCATTTTTTATAACAATAATCCAATTTTAAAACTTGATTAAATTTAATCTGCTTTCGTTAAAATTAACAATTAATTCAAAATTGACAACCAGGCTGTATCCGTATATACATGATGTTAGTCGTAACACATATCTAGTTATGTGTACGTGATTTCATAACAAATACTAAAAATACTTGGACGTGAAAATGAAGAATGCACTCTCCATCCATTTCGCGACATTCCAGTGCCTGTAACGCATTTATTTTGGTCGTACAAATTGAGTTGCATATTTGTGAGGGATGGTATGTGTCAATTCAGGGAAAAGTTATCACATTACACAAAGTGCTAAGGTTGTAGAAATGCACATCAGATGTAATTTGCTTGTCTAGATCTATTACGACGTTGTCAGCTGTCTACTCCCATTCAACAACTATTTCAGACGGTATGCAAGCATCTCTCTCTGCGTCGCACGCGAGGCAGACGCCAACGCCGGCATATTTTCGAAATAATTTTGTTTGTTGCACCATTATTGCAAGCAAAAATGATAAAAAAAGTTGGGTGTTAATAGTTATTTACGTACCAAGGACGTTGTAGGAATTATATTGTCTTGGGGTCTACGTTAATTTAGTCTAAGGGTGAAAGCCTACAATTCTTTTTTCATGACTAGATTAAAAAGGTTTCCCGAGACTTTGATAGCTTAATATAAAACATAAAATGGAAGGAAATCATATTCTAATTTTGCTAGCTTTTAAAATTATCTGTTAAGCTAAAGTAAAGAAACTAAATGTAATTTTTGCCCGAAAAATCTGCTTTATATATTTGTGGACTTATATTCCACTAAGTTCCACACTAATAGTTAACGAAAATAATGACATTGCCTGTTTCACTCGCATTTCGATATTTTCCAAAATAAAATCTAAAAAATATGTCCCGAACAAATCCAAAGAATTAGTGGAAGATTAATCTTTTATTAATAAAGCTCCAGATGGGATTACCTCTTACATAAAGCAGTTTTGCTGATGGGTGTTTTTGGAGAATTAAGAAGGGACTAGCTTATAAAAATTACTGAGGACGATATAGAAGACAAAGGTACTAGTCAAAATACCAATAACTATAATTCGTGCTTCAAAAAGATTCACTATTGCGAAGAAAGATAAAACAAACAGATGCTTTTGAACTGACAGGAAAATATATTTCATTGAGACCAAAAGGAATAAAAGTTTGTTGGTAAAAATACAATAAAAAGTGTGTTTTCAATAATTGCAAAATACTAGAAATTCGAAAATAGACTTAATACAGAATGACTGAAGAACTTTATCAATCCTTTCGGTTGAAGTCGGTGCGTAGTTTGAAACTTGTGTCATCTCTTCTAAGAACACGGTATCCACTATGATTTTAGATTCAGTTATGGCATCAGGAGAATCCGTATTGGGTTATCAAAGCAGGAGCATCAAGATTTCTCTACAAGAGTTTTAAGAAATTTCGGAAATTTCAGATCATATAATTTTTCACGAAAATTGTATTATTAATTTTATTAAAAAGGTGTTAAAAATATTTGTATGTTTTTTTATAAATTAATATATCACTCAGAATTATTTAGAATTTCATATTACAAGATAGTCAATCTTAGCATACACTCATACAGGAGAGTAGGAAAATTTCCAATTTTTTTTAGTGAAATTTTGACAGGTTATAATTTCCTGAATAATAGTCTTATGGAGAAAAAAATAAAGTATCTTGAAGCTTGAAGATTCTAGTTTTGAAATATTGAGATGAACAATTCACTCTCGGCTCAACCAAAAGAAATAGGCAAGGCAAAAATTTAGAATCAAACTTCAATTTGGTGAAGTGAAAAGTCACCTTTTCCTTTTGGTCATTGATATCTTATGATCTAATGATCGTACAGCGAACGGAAGGAGGGTTATAGAAACCTGAAGCAATTTTTTTCAAGGGCCTTTTGGTATGTTTGATAATTTTTTTTTATACTCAGTATTAATTTGAAAAAGTGCAAAAATTACTATTTCTGCTGTTTTGGAAAATCAACAACTACTTTGCAAATATTACGAAAAGTACCAATGTTTGTAGGGTTTTTTAGCTCAATACAGGCCCATGAGGATTTTGAAATCGATCGGTGGAATCGTTTTCCTTTCCTGAATCCTCGGTATTATAAAAAATTAAAGGAGCGGGTTTATTGCTCTTTAAACATCAATTAATGATTAAGATGAAACAATTTTTTTTGCGTTATTTTCCCATAATTTCGCGTTTCATTTCATCAAATATCGAAAAGAAATCAAAATTTTTGAAATTTCAAAAAAACTTTTTTTTCTCGACATTTGAAATATTCATGTAAAACTGTAAAAAGAAAACACAAAAATTTTTTTTTTGGAAAATTTGATTTTTTTTCAAAATTGAATTTTTGAACTAGAATCTTCATGTTTCAAAACGCTTTTTTTTCTCGATAAGATCATTATTCGCGAAGTTACAGCCTCTCAAAAATCACTAAAGAAATTTGGAAATTTTTCTGCTCCTATAATTTTTTTTGCTGACTTTAGTTACTGAAATTACTAAATTAAGTTAACAACAATGCGCGTCGACTTGTCATTTTACGTGATAACGCGTCAATATTTGCGGGAATTTATGGAAATGACTGTCTCAGTCTACATGAGCTACACCGCATAAAGGTACTCAAAAGAAATAGTCTTTTAATTCCCCAAAACATGATCATTACCTCTAGATCCATAGTCCTAGACAGTGGACCTCCCTGACCAGCCATCGCCAAGTACTGTTGTTCGCCACCCAGAGTGTGTCTTCTAGGATCGTCTCTTCTTGTATTGCGACTGCGACCCCTTACCTCTCCACCTTCATTATCGCTTCGGCCTGCAACAAAAACAATTGAATCAGCAAGGAAGAAAGAAACATTAACTATATTTTGGAACTAACACATTGATGCGAGATAGATTTATATTTTCTTATTCATCTAATATTAGAATTTTCTAAATAGTTCTAAAGATATTCAAGCGCGAAAGATAGATGATAGACGATGATCCAGAAATAAAATTAGAGTCCATTGCAATGTTTTCATAGAGTTCTCAGAGCTTTGAAGCTCTTGGTCACCGGGTTTTGGAACCAAGCAATTTTTATCTTATTGATTAAAACGTTCCTTGTTTGCATTAAAAAGATATATCCCTTCTTCACAACAAAGCAGCCAGTGTCTAACACATTTTCCACGTCTGAAGTTTCCTGAACTGTACACCTGCTATATAGTCTGGCTTTGTTCCGCCAGACTTTTGTACTCGGAAATTAGAAAAGCTGCTTCAGTGGACGTCAATTTGCAGATTATAACCAATTAAAAGAGTGTTGATTATTTCATCGTGACGGAATAAATTGTTACAAAGCAGAAGGCGCGAGTGAAGTTTGGGGAGACTATGATGAAAACTGAAATGACCAAAAACCCTTTTGCTTCAGAAAACTTTCAGTCAGTGTCAATGTCAGTGTTACCCGTCACCGAAGCCAAAACCAAAATGGGGCCGGCTAGCGGTCAAAATTTTACGTGAGCATTTCGGACATGAATTTAAAACAATTTATGGTGCAAAACCAATCCGGTAGTTTCGACAATTATTTAGTATTTGTAGTAAATAAACTGAACAGTGACGATGTAGGTCCAGAATATGATCCTGAAAAATCAATAGCTGTCACCTCGAGAGACAGCGAGGAGAAACCATTTCTCTCTCGTTTAGTGGCTCTGAAATCCAATTTAAGAAGAATAGATGAAGATACTGACAAATTAATTTTGAGGAGGACGAAAGAAACTTATAAATTTCCCACAAAAATTAAAAATGATGATGCAATAGAAGAAGAAGAACAAATAGTTCAACCAAATACCTCGGAATATAACGAACCTGTCACGGACGATGTACACCCACTACTATCTTGGATTTCCTCAAAAGAAATTGGAAAATTTGTTGGTGTCGAAGAAGAAGAACCTGAAGATGAAGTGGAACAAGTCATTGTCAAAAAATCGAAACGAATGTCCATAATCGATAGTAGTTTTCCAGTAAGGAAAACACCTGCAAAAGAAGATCTCGAAATACTTCGAAAGTATGAAGGTATTCAATTCATTTTGGACGAAGATTTTAAACTTTTTACAGAGGATGACAATCTAGATGTGAAAGATAAAAAATTGGATATAAAAGATACAAAAATCAGTATTGAAGACAAAATAACAAATGATGACAAAGACTTAGATATAGATGCATCCGAAAAAAGTGTTAAAATAGAGGAAATCAGCATTAACGAAGAAACAACAGAAAAGCATGATAAAGAGGAAGAAAATGTTGCTGTAAAATATGATGTGAAAGAAGAGGTAGTAAGTGTTGATGAAAGAATAAGCATACAAAAAGAAAGTACTGTAAAACCAGATATACAAGAAAAATCAATAAGAAGCACTGAAGAATTTAAAAAGAAAGAAATAGTACAAGACAATGAGGCAAAAAGCATGGAGGAGATAAAGGAAATAATCAAGAAAGATGATACCAAAATAACTGATATGATAAAAAGCGATGATGAAGTAAAACTCATACAAAAAGAAATAACTAAGAGGGATGATAAAATGGTAGATGATGTAGGAAAAACTACTATAAAATATGCTGAAAAAAAGATAAAAATAGCAAGGGATGCTGAAGGAATAAGCAGTGAGAAAGAAATAATGTCAACGGATTACAAAACAATAAATGTTGAAGACATTCAGAAAGATGTAATAGAAGGGCACGATATAACGCTAATGTCAGTAAAAGGCATTGAAGAAAAGGAACAAATTCCAAAAGACCCGGACGCCGAAGTAATAAGTTTGTGCAAAGAAACAACAAAAGACGATGATAAAAAATTAGATGTCGATGTGGCAGTAAAGTCCATAAAAAGTGTTGAAGGAAAGAAATATATTTCAAAGGATAATGAAGCAATAAATATTGAAAAGAAAATAATTAAGGAGGATGATAAAATATTAGATGCTGGCGTTGCAGAAATGACAATAAAAAGTGTTGTAGATTCTAAAATAGAGAAAAAGTCAAAGGATGATGAGAAGTTAAATATAGAAGAATTCGAAAATGGCAGTGAGGAAGAATTAAAGCTGCATCAGATGGAAGAAATAGACAATAAGAAAGAAGTACGAACACAAGAACAAACTGAAAGAAAAGTTGAAAACAGTAAAAAAGAAGCACGAACACAAGAACCAACTGAAAGAAAAGTTGGAGACAGTAAAAAAGAAGCAACAACACAAGAACAAACTGAAAGAAAAGTAGAAGACAGTAAAAATGAAGCAGGAACACAAGAACAAACTGAAAGAAAAGTTGAAGACAGTATAAAAGAAGTACGAACACAGGAACAAACTGAAAGAAAAGTTGAGGACAGTAAAAAGGCAAAGGAAATTGTGCAGAGGGATGAGAAATTAGCCGTACCAGGAAGAATTGTAAAAGACGATAAATTAAAGGAACAATTAGGGGTTACGGATGATGAAAAATTAAACGCAATAAAAGAGATAGTAGCACCGGTACTGAGCTCGTTACTGATAGACGTATTTGAATGTGTCGTGGAAGAACAAATTTATTCAATTTACAAGGAATACAGTGAAGTGAAAGATATGGTGGTGGACGTTATGAATTCTATGTTAAACGGGTTGATTCAAGACGTCACATTAAAAAATATGAAACGCGAGTGCATATGTAGAAAAATGAGAGAATTACGTAGAACTCAAAAGGTAAGGAGAGTTTGTAAGTGCAAAAAGGGGATTGTAGCTACACAAACCTTTGTTTCCAGATTTAATACTGTAGACAAAGCAATACCGAACGTCGTGTATGAGATTTACAATAGAATTCCGGACAAAAACTACCTGGAACTGCAAGAAATACATCTAGACAGTAGTTTAGTGACTGCCCAATCACTGAAGATGAGAGATTTGATCAATTTGGATATAGAAATGAGCGGACGTAGAAAAATTACAATTCCGTCCGATTTCTATCAACTGAGTAAAAATTCAATAAAAATCAAAAGTACGGACATGGCGCGGTCGTTGAGTCTCTTAAAAAACATGCTGCAAAGACCTTTACCAGCTATTTCAAACGTACAGGAAACAAACGAGGACGAACAAATGGAATCGATCACAGAAATTATTAGTTCCAAAATGAACGCACCAACAATTTTCATAACGGAAACAGAGAAGACGCAAAAAAATTACCATATGTTGAATATACCGTCTAACTCACGCGACTTAAATATCGTCATAAATACAAGAGGAATTGATATCAAGATCCAGCCCACTTCGAGGAGGATTTTTTTGATCCACGGAAAACTCAAGCGCAGATTAACGTGACAAATTTAGTTTATAAAAGATTTTAAGTATAAAAATGTCAGCAATGATTTTTGTGGTGAATACTGCGGTTAATAAAATGTATGTTCAATACCGATACACTTTATTTTTTGATAATTTTTTTGACAAAACCACAATAGCCCATTAATTCAAGGTACTCACCAGATTTTTATCTTTAAATTCCCTGACTTTTTCAAAAAATCTAGATGGCACTTTGGTTTTAATTATATTTTATCGATATGTAAAAAAGTATAAAAATAAAATCAAAGGCATTGGTATATTGCTAATAAAAATAAACATAAAGTATATAAACAATATAATAAAATACACAACTTACAGTAGGTATAGTAATGGCACATATTAAATTCCAATTTGTATATAAACTTTAACTAATATTGCACTCATATTAATTTTTTGAAAAATTTATTACGAATGCTTTCTTAAATCATTCATTTCATAGTTCAGGAAATATAGAGTTGGACGCGACTTTTTGTTTCGGCAAGCTGAATTTATCACTATAGATGCTAAATATTATGTACAATAATATATTAATTTCCACAGTCATAAAAATGGGGGGAAGATTGGTTACAGGGTAGTTAATTGTATAATTTTTATGTAAATTCACGTTTTTCGCTTATAACTTTTTTCCGTTCATTTTCACGAGAAAACAGTAAAGTACTTTTTTTTCCTCTTCAAAAGACCTACAAAACTAACCCTAGAGCGTCAAAAAATATTGATTAGATCAAAAGTTATAAACAGAGGAAGTTTATTTATAAACTGCGTTATTATTACCAGAACGTTTTAGCATCGCATCCTCTCATTCTTTATCACTGTCTAATAACTCACACGAAATCTGGAATCGGTAAGTTGAATAGTTTACAAGTTATGGCCTATAAACAAATTAACTAATTATTAGCCTGGACGATCCCGAGGATCTTCCACAATCGCACTGATTTTTTTCAAGGTAGTGTTCATAATAATACATTGAAATCTATCATTTTTTTTTTAATTTCAAATTTGCAACCTGAAAATTTCTTTTATTTTTTGATTTTTTAGCCTTAGTTGCAAAAGGAAATATACGACGCACGAGCGTGATATAGTTATATATTATTACATATTCGGAAAGCTTATGAAAAGAGCTTGAAGTTAAAATAAATCGTCAAGATTCGTTGAGAAACAACAGAGTTACACACTGTCAAAGTTGACGGCCGATTGTTAAACAAATTAGGTTGGTAGCGGCAAAAAGAAATTAGAATAGAACACAAATGGTGCCGATTTAGCCAAACTTAATCGAAAAATATCCCAAAAAATACAGTTTCTTTTTTTATTTCTTGTTTTCTCATTAACTCAGAACCCAGTTTACCGATTTTAGCATAATTTGCTGTTGCTTAGTTTCTCTTCATAAAGTATGCAGTGATTATGTTTGTATAAGGTTAAATCATACAGGGCGTTCATTTTAATACAACCCTTTGTGAATATTCTTCTGTAACTTTTTTGTACGTTTAAATTTTTACAC